AAGTACTTTTCTTCCGCTGCAAATCTCTGTTAAGCCTTACGTAATCTCGTGGCGGTAATATCCTCAAGTTACTCCCTAAAATTATATTGTTATTATTATAGAGTAATTTGGGGGTGTTACACCTTGCACCATGAGATACAACATCAACACATACACTTGATTAAGCTCACTCAACATGCACCATTGCTTGATTCATTCTTTTCCTTTTGAGGAAGTTTAAAAACTTCATTTTTCACCAATACTTTACCTCTTTCATTTTCACGTCTTTCTTTTCAGGAGAAAGTCGGTACCCTCCACAAAAATGACGAAATTTTTTTACTTTTTTTCATTTTCGAGTTGCACAAGCACAATCACATGAGTCCACACTCTATACACACGAGTCATGCACATTGAGTCATGTCATGACATCACATCGAGTTGAGTCATGCACATTATGTTGTTATCACGTTGAGTTGAGTTTGCACACACATGTCAAAACACATCGAGTCGAGTTAAGTATATTGAGTCACACAATGAGTCAAGAACACCAAGCCTTGAGTCAACCTTAAGCCAATCAACCACAATGAGTTGAGTACACCAAGCCTTAGATCAACCTCGAGAAAGTTATAAATACGAGCAAAGTCCTATAGTCCAAAATATAGATGCAGGTACACTAAGTCCCTGACGGACGAGTAACCTTTACAAGATATTTGAGGCGATTTGAAAGGCACAAGCAACAGCAACGAAGCCGAACGAGCAGAATGAGTTAAAAAAAAGTATGACCTTGATTCCAGCCCAGCACGATAGAAACAACGCGGCACGACAGTACTGTCGCCGTGCGATGGAACCTGATATGGCACGTCGGACTTGAATTCCTTTCAGATCGATTTGTTGGACGACAATTATCCACTTAAGCCTCATGATGAGCAATCGATTCTTTCCAAAGCAGATGATTATGCATTTGAGCCTCTTGATGAACATCTGAGCCTCTTAATGAGCATTTGAGCCTTTTGAGCATCGTGATGACTCGAAGAATGATTTGATTTGATTAATAGTCAGCTCGATTACAACTTGATTAAAGATCGGCCTGATGACGATCACATTTTGATTACACATTGAGTGAACACCTTTGAAATCACACCTGTGATTAGTAATTGGCCCGATTACAATTTTGATTGATGATCGGTCTGATGATGATCATCTTATTGATTGATTGAGTACGCCTAAGCATTGGATGAATACATTTGAGTATTTATTGAGAATGCCTAAGCATTGGCTAAGCACATTTGAGTACGCCTAAGCATTGGCTAAGCACACTTTAGCATACCTAACCATTGGTTGAGCACATTTTCAATACACCCAAGCATTGGTTGAGTTCGCCTAAGCATTGGTGGAGTACATTGATTGAGTAGTGATTGAGCATAATCACAAAGAATTCCTAAGATAGAAGATTTCTATGGAAACCAATTTGAAGCTCGGTAAGACCTTGAGAGATGAGGTTTTTACGGTACATTTTCTAAAGATGGAGGAGATACCACTTCCAAGAGTGAAGGCAAGAAGATTTGAAGATGGCTAATTTATGCGATCTTCGACAACATTCCCTAAGATGTGGAAGTTATCCCCCGTTAATCTGCAGATGGCTAAGCACTGCGATCTTCGACAACCTTCCGTAAGATTGAGAAGGTTGTCACCTGATTTGAGAAGACGGCTCGAGATGAGGTGGTCTTCGACAGCTTTCCCTAAGATTGAGAATGTTGTCACCTGATTTGAGAAGACGACTCGAGATAAGGTGGTCTTCGACTGCCTTCCCTAAGATTGAGAAGGTTTTCACCTAATTTGAGAAGACGACTTGAGATGAGATGGTCTCGACAATGTTCCCTAAGATTGTGGAGGTTGTCACCTGATTTGAAGACGCCACGAGATGTAGCGGTCTTTGACAGCTTTCCCTAAGATTGAGAAGGTTGTCACCTGATTTAAGAAGACAGCTCGAGATGAGGTGGTCTTCGACTGCTTTCCCTAAGATTGAGAAGGTTGTCACTTGATTTGACGAGATGTGGCAGTTTTCGACAGCATTCTCTAAGATTGAAGAAGTTGTCACTTGGTTTGAGAAGATGTCACGAGATGCGGCGATCTTCGACGGCGTTCCCTAAGAATATGGAAGTTGTCAAAACAAGTGTGATCCGACGAGATGTCACCCAGAGGCGTGTACCCGACGGTGCAAGATATGCGTTTCTAAATCCTTTATTTGATTGTTTTTTTCTCTCTCCAAAAATTAACTTTCCATAATAATTTTAGTTTTCTACAGGTATCGGTGTTAAAAAGAATGATTTAGGTTCGCAGAACGTTTTGAATCACTCTTCGTCCCTATTGATCTACTTTGACTTTTGTTTTCAAAACTTACATTTCTCCAAACTCAATCAAAGTGGGGGCTTCTGTAAACACCTAATTATGTCTCCCCAAAAACCAAACCCAGTGATGAGTATGTTTCACGTCTTTGATTATCGAGTTCGGTGAAGAGTTGAAGAGTCTCGTGAAGTTCCCTTTAGCCTTGACCATTTATAACCTTTCCTTAAATGTTTTAGAACAAAATCATTCATTTCGTGTCTTTGAAAATCATTCATTTCGTGTCCTCTTTATAAAATGTCCAAATCAGTCTATTTTGGTCCATAATCATGGTCTAATTAGTGTGTAGTTGGATGGGGCTTGAAAGGAGCTTTCCAACGATATATTATAAGCCCAAATCCAACTTATAATGAAGAAGTTATGGCCAAATACTAAACCGAGCCCAAACCAAGCCTTACCTGCGACTCAATGACCATGTGGAGGGTCCATTAACCTTGACCTCATTCCCAAACCAATTAGGATTTATTACAAGCTTCTAGAATCCCCTAGAAGGTTGTTTTCGATCCTAAATCCCATAGGATTTATTATTAGCTTCTAGAATCCTCTAGAAAGTTCTAATTTATCTTGTTTTTGGAAAGATAAAGATTTAAGAATTTTACATCGGATAAAACATCTGTTTTTCAATGATCCTAATCCCTGTCAAAATAGAATACGTACGGATATTCGGTTAACCCAATCTAATTGGGAATAGAATTCTGTACAGATTCAATCTTTCAAAAAACATCGCTGAGCGACAGCACCATCACGCCGCGACAATGTTGTCACGCCGTGATAAGCCTGTCGCGCCGTGATGGAATCTGTTTTACTCCGAGTCGAATTCTGACTCTTTTCTGATCTTTCGACCCTCTTTTTTCCTTATAAATAGAGGTCGTTTCACCCCGTTTTCAATCATCAACAAACTTGATCATCAACAATCATCATTTAATCCTCTCTCTAAGCTACATCATCAACAATCATCATTTAATCCTCTCTCTAAGCTAAAGCTTTTCTCTCTCTCTTTTTTCTTGATTTCTAGCCTTAGCCTAAATACATCCTTGATACTTTTCCCTAATCAAGCACCATACCTCATTCACAAGCTTCGAATACTCCTAGCCAATCTCGAAGTTTCCTTCTACCTCGACGTGAAAGGTTGATAATTCTAAGGGTTTGATCCCAAATCTATATTTTAATTCTTATTTGATTTAATCTTTTTTGAAGTTTACTAATGTGTGCATTGTTTTGATAGAAAGAAATACGAGGCATCAAAGTGAGTAATTTGATCTCCCTAATATTTATTCCTTTGACATAGAAATCATGCTTAGAACATTATCTTAATTCCTAGTATCATCTTAGGATGTTGATTTTGGTTTCTAGTATCATGTTTAGGATAATGCTTTAATTATGATTTTTGTGACATGCTAGGGTTTGTTATTAATCCGTTTAGTATCATGCCTAGGATCTTACTAATAATGTTTTGATGATGTTTTGATTATGGTGATTATGATTGTTGAGTCAATTATTATGTTACTTGATTATTCATAATTTATTGTTATTGCTTGATCACGCCTTGTTACAGGTTTAAAGGGAATTTGTACTTGAAATCACGCCTAATTAGATAATTAATAATTTGCTTTGGGCTAATATGATTTTAATTCAAGTGATCGCCAATAATAGATTTATTTGTGCATTAATAATCAACCCACATAGATTGAACATGTTTAGGGTTAATTTATTGTATGTATGTTGATCGGAAAGCGCACATGAATATCATAAGAATTTTATAGAGGCCGATTTAGGGCGGTTCAATCTCTTTTAGGTTGGATTCATACCATCGTCCCCGAATATCCAGTCAATGTTCCGGACCACTATGGAGTTAGCGATCTCCGTGATGAATGGGGTGTAACCTTCACACCCGTGAACGGTTTACAAGTTCCTAAAACTTGTTGGCGACTCTTTTATCTCTAGCTTCCTTCCCTTTGGACGCCATCATGCCTAAAAGCATGATCACAGTGAGCCTCAAAGTTGAGTCTGAAAAATTCCCTACAGTAGCCTTTTGGCTTTTTTTTTTTGGTTTTTTTTTTTTTTTTTTTGCCTTTTTTTCCCAACATGTTAAAAAGTTTGAGATAATTCTTATAAATAGTGTTTGGACAATTATACTCTTTAAAACTAAAGTTGTAACATAAAACCAAATTGAAAAAGATTCCAAAATATGGCTTAGCTATGTAAGCGCATCGCACACATTAGCCACCCTAGTGATTCATAAAAGCAATAGTTGATGAATATATAGTCAAAATCTTAATTTTTTCAAAAATGTTTAGTTATAAAAGAGATTAATTAGGGCACCTTGATAATGTGATTGTACCATGTGCATTTCAATTAATTGGTTATGAAAAATGTATATAGAAAAAAGACCTTCATTAGGCTACATTTTAGTAGAGGAAGACCTCTTTTAAGTTTTAAGTCAGCATAAAACCAAGTCTATAAAACACCTATCGTGGTTTTACATGTTTTTCTAATAGTTTTAGACCTATCAAAACTCAAGAATACATCAAGAAATTTAGTAATACAAATATATACTACATACTAACAACGAAGCATTATATCGAAATCAAACACTAGAATATAACAAAGGTATCAAATTCAGATGATTTTGTTTCAAAGGTCGTAAATACAATTTGTTTGAAAATATTGCAATTGACAAAGTCACTTATACAAAAGGTTGTAAGTCGCAAATCTTCCTTATTCCAAGTCCCAACTACTACTATAAGTTAAGAATTCCTCCACAAGCACAAAGTTTATGAAAATGACTATACTACCACTAATGGATACGGAAACTCTAATCTTTAACTTATGAATAAAACTTGCAAAACAACACAATGAATGTTTTGATCAAACTACCAATTACATTTCCAACTTCATGTTAATGAAACAATATAAAAGTACACCTTAATTAATTTCAACTATCCAACCCTTCTTGTCTTCAATTTGGCCATTTTGAATGCCAACATATATTGACAACAGTTTCTTAAACATCGAATTGGTGTCTGCTGCCCGGTATTCTACCCTGCAGTATTAAAAAAAAAAATTATTGCATAAATTTTGTTACCTTATTAATTATATAACAACTTTCTTTAATTTAGTTTGTTTCGCGTGATATTTTCATATTTTATCCATTCATATGCGGAGTATAACATGATATATAAAAACTCAAAGTTTATATACACCTTTTGCCTTGGTAAGTAATGCTACCCACAGGAACAACCGCGACAGCAGTTCCGGTGCAGAAAGCTTCATCTGCTTCGAGCAATTCTTCCACTGCAATCTGACGCTCCTCAACCTAAACATGTACTAATTCAGTATTGAGATAGGGTGCTATAGTCAAGTAGCTTAGTCATGTCATATACTAGTATATTGCTAAGTAGTTGTTCAACTTGGCGGGTATAAGCTTAAAGTTTATACTGTAATGACTAATTAACCTTAAAACCTTGGTCTCGAGCAATTTCGATCATGCTTTTTCTCGTCACTCCTGGGAGAATTGTGCCTTTTGTTGGTGGAGTTGAGATTATTTTGTCCTGTAAATATGCATAGTATAGTATATGCATTCAAATGAACCATCTTAATTAGTCCTAGTGATGATTTCTAATGACTGGTGCAAAAATATTTTAAGTACATTTTTTCATCATACATATGCATATATATATGATCCAAGAAATATTACCTTTACAATAAATATATTACAAGCAGAGACTTCCTCTACATATTTCCCGGTCACGGAATCAAGGTACAAGACATCTGAATATCCATTGTTTTTCGCTTTTGTCAATGGTTTCATACCCTGAAAAATATATTAGAGCAAAAGTTAGTAAATAGATATAGATTTCACTGAAAAATGAATAACTTCCTTGGAACATTTGGCAAGTGAATTCAGTTTACTTGGACCAACAAATTTCCACCATCAAAGACCTACCAGTCACCAAAACAACCTTTGGACCACAGCTTTAACATTTTTATGGATATTTTTTTCCAACCCCATACTATGGAGGTTGAGATTGCTTGTATTTGCAAGAACAAACAAGGGGACCGGATGAAAGGCGTTGCTGTTCATACAAGCTCACCTTCAGCCCTCATGGCTGAAACCTTAGCTATTTTAGCAGCTGTAGCTTGAGCTATTTGGGAGAAATGGGATGATGTTCAATTCCACTCTGATTGCTTAAGGGCTGTGCAAGGAATTAACAAATCTGTGATTGGTTCTGATGAAATGGAGAATTACTACTCTTTATGGAGGGACCTGATCTCAACCGCAGGAAGGGCAAAGCTGTCCAAGGCCACAAGGGCAAAAGTAAGGGAAGCGCATGTGCAGCCAGGCAAGATGTGTCTGTTCTACATCATACTTCTAGTCGGCTGGATAGTGCAGGATCCATCTTAAAGCATTTTGTAATTATTTTAAAGCCAAGTGTGGCTCAAACTTCGGTCTGTAATAGCTCTAACTTCTATTTTGGTGCAAACTTAACTAGTAATCAACAGTTGATGGTAGGGGCTGGATGCCCACTAACACATCAGCCACCTTGAGTATGGAAGGTGCATTTTGTAATTATGGCCTAGGCCAGCAACTTTATTATTATTATTATTATTATTATTATTATTATTAATCTATGTTCTGTTTCCTACCAAAAAAAAAAAAAAATATATATATATATATATAGATCTCACAATAAATCATCTATATATAGTTGTTGAAAAATTAGAAAAACATAAGCTTACTGGCGCATAGTTGGTAATCGATTTCAAACCACCAACACCACCACGAGAAGCACGATCAAATTGATCCTCGACATACAAATTCAAGGCCGCTCTCTCTTCCTAATAGAACAAATTTATCTTAAATCATATACTCCATCTATTTCTAAATAACCAAAGAGAGTATGTAACAATGTAACATAACAAATTAGAATAATAATGATGCAGAGATGGTAGAAAAAACCTTAAAATAGTTATTACGAACTGGAGATGCATAAATGAGGAATGTGTACTCAGTAGCTGGAGCCACACTCGGTGTTGCTCCGGTTCCTAGGAGCAAAGGTCTAATGTATAGTGAACCTTTCCCTGGTGGTGGAATCTGTTATGTTATAGTAGAATTTTTATCAAATAATAACTCTATACAAAGTTAAAAAGTTTAGTACATATAATTATTTGACACCATAAAAAAGGTTGGAAAATTATGTCACATACCCAACGTTTATTAGCAAGAGCAGTTTGTTTAACTGCGTCAATAAACTGATCAACTGAAGGCGAAGGCATGCACATTCTTTCGGCGCCTTTTTTCATGCGTAACGCATTTCCATCTGGTCGGAAAAAAACAATCTTCCCATTTTCTCTCCTTGTTGCCTTCATTCCTTCAAATATACCCTTTGCAACCACAAAAAACTACTATTGTCAGCCAAGTTGATCGTGTAATTTAAATTTAGTTACTAATGTGACAGCTAAATCTAGACGGAGGTAGTACAATACTTGATAGCATGAATATTATATTAGTTAACGACATAATTAAGCTTAATTAATTACCTGGCCATAATTCAAGACACAAGCAGCAGGACTCAGCTCGATGTTTCCATATGGAATTAGTTTACCTTCCGCAAATTCCTCGTCTTTGAAACATTTCATCTTGTACATGTAATCTGTACTTGTTAGCCCAAATCCTAATGTGTCCCAATCAATGTCCACGTAGCCATTTTCATCACCACGACTGAGCAAATAAAATAAATGTCGTTATTCGTTAGGTCGTATGATGAAGTACAAATAAATCACACTAACGCTTTTAGCGTAATAGGAGGAGACAATCCGCATACAAGTTAAGTTAGGTTTATATAAATGTACACAAAACTTAATGTGAGCATCATTCACCAAATGTATTTACATGAACAATCAATTTAGTCTATTTAATATTTTAGAATAAGTACAGTTAATTTAGGAATTGAAATAACTCTGCTACTGTATTAAAATTTTGTATAAAGATGTTCATCATTATTTCTTTTGATGTACGTCAATTGACTTAATAAAAAGGTAGTTTAATTTCAATTCACTAATATGATGTTACAATTTTACTAGAAATACTTCATATTGTATGAACTAGGATTTGATTTAATGAAGACAAACATAAAAGAAATTGATTAGTTAAAAACCATTTAGTAACTAAAAGAATACAAATATAAATGCTCCATATTATAACGAATAAGCAAAATAAATATAGTCCATGACTAAAGATGCATGTTTATTAAAATTATTGAAGCAAAATTATGTTCAAAAATCACCAACATAAAATTACCTTAAGGTCCTTAACCCTGAAGAAATTGAAGATGATACAGAGGCCATGGATGAATCTAAAGGTTAAATTAAGCTACATGAAGAAAGTCAAGAGGATTATGAAATTTATACTACATGAATGTCCTTTTCGGCGTAAGTGTTGCTAAACATTAGTCGCATTTTCTTAATCATGAATATCGCTCTAGATGCATGAATAGAGCAGGTAAAAAAGTGGACAACTTATTCAAGCAACCAATATAATAAGCCATACATATAGATACTCCTGACATGTACTAATCAAATAGATTATTATAAAGTTGAGTCAAAAGTGTACAACTTGAAATCAAAGGACATTGCTTGTGATGAATGTAGTAAGGTCTAGGTTTGATGCATTTGTTTTTCATTTGGGAAAAGACAAGGATTGTTACAAATTAGTTGGTGCGTGCATCCGAGTGCATAGTGCTCATGATAATACATACACTAAGTTAAAATAATAACATACTTTCTCTGTTTTTTAAATTTACAACATTTTCACTTTGCGCATATCAATGTATCATTTATTTCAAGCACATATATTTATTGTTTTCAATAAGTAAAAAAATATAAAAAATTAATATTATTAAAGTTCAAATTTTCCTCTCCCATGTGTCTAATTTATATTGCCTTTGATGGCTCATTTGGATTGAATTGACTACTCCGGTACTTATCTAGCAATATTATTAGTCGCTAGAAAGGTAGGTTGTGAAGTAGACATGTGATGGTTGTAGACTGGAAAATCGGAAAAAGTTAAAGGATAAAAATGTTGTAATTTTCTTGAGAATTTTTTTTAGGAAAATTGGAAAATAATAATCCAACCTTTAAACGGTCTTATTAAAACAGTCCCAACTTTAATTTAACTCAGAATAATCCAACCTTTCCCACCCCTCTTCTCATATTGGTCCTTCGTCAATTGTAACCTACAATAGGAGGTAATCCATCCTACGTGGCAATGACTGTTTTTAGTTTTTTTTTTTTTTTTCTCTTTAAATTCCAAAGTCCTAATATAAACAAACCCCCTCTCCTTTATCTTCCCCTATCAAAATTCTAATGTTGGAGCTCTACAATCCACGTTAGTTCTTCTTCTGTGTTGGTAAATCTCTACAATTTTCTCTATTTCCCTGAAGCTATCACTTTCAATGGTGTCCAGGAAATCAATATCTATGGTGTTGAAACCCCACCATAACCTTGGTGTTGTTGTGCGAATTGCTCAAAAAGGCCCTAATTTTGAAAAAAAAAAATTAGGGGGTGTTGCAAATGGCCAGTAAGTATGTGTGATTATGATTATTTACTCTGGCATTTGTAGTGTTTTAATTTCAATTATAGGATTTTAATTTCAAATTCTAGGATTTTGAAGTACATTGCAAAAGTTACTTGAAGTGTGTCAAAAACTTACAATCATCCAAAAGCTACTTAGTTGTAAAAGTTATAATAATAAACATCAATCATTGTTTTTTTTTTTTTTTAATTAATCCAAAATGATAGTACAGCCTATTGCAATTTAATACATAATCTAATGAGGTGCTTGATCCACTGTTGAAGCTTGAAATTTCTGTTGTGTGGTATGGCTCACGTGTTGCACTATTGTTGCTTGGCCAGATTGCTGTAATGAGTGGAATGCATTAGCAAATTACAGAAAAAATACGTCCATAAATAAATATTCAGAGAGAAAAAAAAATTACATTAAACCAAGGTGATCCATCATCAGCAATAAAAACTCCCACACCCCTCGGTGCCTGGTACCAGAAAAAAAAAAAAAAAAAAAAAAAAAAAAAAAAAAAAAAAAAAAGTTACACAAGTACAATATTTAGTGTGGTATAAAAATTTATTAGGTTGGTATGAGGTTAGTATAAGGTACCTGGAATCCCCTTCCCCTTGAACCCCTTCCACGTTTGCCTCTAACACCTCTAGATCCTCTTCCCCCTGTAGATCCTTCTCTTTCATTAGAACCCTGGGTTGAGTTTTCTTGATTACCCGCTCTTCCTCCTCTGCCTCCCCTTGATCCCCTTCCTCCCCTGATTACTCTTCCTCCTCTGCCTAACATTGAAGGTTGTGTTGTAGCTGAATAGTGCTCTGTTGCAGCAGGTGTTGAAGAAGAACCAGTTTGAGGGGCTGAACAAGTATTCCTTGGCCTTCCTTTTGGTTTTTTGGAGGGAGGTTCCTACACCACTGCCCTATCTCGATTAGGACATCGCCTTTTGTTATGGCCCTTAACATGACATAGACTACATGTCATCTCCATGCCGTGCCTAATGAGCTTTCCTGGTTTTTTAGGATCCTCAAACGGATTTTTCCTCTTGTTTCTCCTAGGCCTACCAGGGCCAATCTTTATAGGGGGTGGGTCAAGATTTGTGTTAATCCGAGGCCAATGCCTCTCTCCTTCGAGTGGAGGAATTGACCCTGCATAAGCCCTTAAGTAGAGGTCCCTCATGTAACAATTATCCACAAATTCTTCGGCCTCTCTATGTTGGAAAAAAATACATGCACAAGCATGACAGCAAGGAATACCCAACATTTGCCATTTTCTACAAGTACAAGTCTTATTCTCTAAATCAACAGTCAATTGATCCAAAGAGTATGATACATTAAATAATGTATCAGTTGAAGGAAACACATCACAATTATCAGCTTTAGTCTTCTCCTTTTCTAGCTTTGCTTGAATCCTGGGGCAGATTATTGAGGTTGACTTTTCCATTTCTTGTCATTTCAAAACTAACCTTTGCATTAACGCCACTCTGATGTCTTCTAACATGTATAAAATGTGTTTAGTCCTACCATTTATTATGTAACTATTAAAGGTTTCCGCCATATTGTTTGTTATGGCATCTATCCTAATGGATGAATCCATGAATGCTCTACAAAACACTTGAGGATTGTAAGACTGGAAAGCACTAGCAGCATCTGGATTAATTTCATTCAACTCAGCCAGAACATCCAAATAATCTGCCATGTTATAACATTTAGCAATTTTCCAGAAAAGAAGTTTCATTTCATCACCTCTAAATGACTTGTGCCATAAAGCAAAAATATGCCTTGCACAATGCCGATGTTCTGCTTTTGGTAGAACAATTGACACAGCATGTAAAATGGCCTTATACACACAAACAAACACACAAAACCAAGAAAACAAGATAAGTGTAAATTGATTTGCTAAAAGAATAATGTATAAATGTATATGCATATATAAAGAAAACTAAATTGATTATTAAAGATTGATAATAAGGAATCTTACTTGGTGCTTGATTAGGGGATTTTTATCCTCCAATCACCGTCTGACAAGTGGACCAACCAGGTTCCGCCACGTGTCCTTCACGTAGGCCAATAGGAGCCTGCCACGTGTCAACCACAGATTCGTCCTCTGCGGACCAATCAAGGCACGCCACGTGTCCACCCATGCCAAATGGGAAAACCGGCCATCAAGGCCCAACTCAGTCTAGAGGCCCAATCAGCCCTAGGTTTACCTTAAACCTAGAAAGTGGCACGCTTCCCAAGGTTATAAATACCTCCCTTAATCCTCATTAAGAAGGGATTACAAACGAAAAATACATTAATTACACACAGTAATAACCGGCTGATCTCGCTAACAAAGCAGATTACCAACACTAAGCACTCTCACCTAGAGAGACCTTATTACTTTAATTTCCGTATTAATTACTCCTTAATCAGGTACTAACTTGACCGTTGGAGGCGGAGCTCTCAGGAGTCTCCGTTATTTTGCAGGTACAGGCGTCCGGTTCCAGTCTCGGAATTGTAACTCTCCCGCAGGACATCAGAAAACCCCGAAACATTTGGCGCCGTCTGTGGGGAGAGTACTTCAGAGATGGCATCCAAGTCTGTACCGACTCCAGAAGAGAGGCGTCCCCTAGACGACCCTCAAGTTCAGTCGGACCATGATACCGAAAGTGAATTTGAAGTTGAAACTCATACAGCTCCAGACGGGACCCTAAGGGCCCGACGTACCCGTCATACCGAAAGGAGGGAACGGGAGCATCTTCAAACAGGAAGCGAGCCAGCAGGCGCACCGCTTGCTCGGCAACAGCCGACTGATGGGTCTGCTCCCATCACAAGGAACGAACTCATGACCTTCATGAGGGACTTCAAGGGAGAGATTCAAGAATTGATCAACAAAAAACCGCCTGCTTCAGTCAAAGAGCAGTCGGCCAAGAAACCTTCCACTTCACTGAAGAGGAAGCCAGTTCAAGGGCGAGAGGCGACTCCTCATCCTAAATCCAAGAAGCGGGAGACACCTGCTCTTGATTTCACAAAATTCCGTTATCCTACGGGAAATAGGAAACCGGTTCGTCATATTCAGGCGGACGGGTCAAAGCAAACGTTCACAGATGCTCGGCTCCTGCTAGAGCAGAAGAAGAGTGACCGATTATCTGAGTCGGCTTCTACTTCAAATTTTCAAGACAGTTTGCGAAATGCCTCGATGAGGCATACTCAGTCGTACCATGAGAGTCAGTCAGGCGGCACCTCCCGTCAGTCCGGCTTTCATAGTGCCCAGGCGGTACCAAACTTACCATTTGTGCCGCAACAACAGTATTTTATGCAGCCACCTCCATTTGGTGGACCTGCAGCAAAAAACGTCCAACCTATGGACTGGCAGCTACGGTTGCTTAGGCTTGGTGAACAGCCGTCGGCCTTCTCCAAGGAAATTACTGAAGCCGCTCAGCCGGCCAAAGTAAAAAATGTTCTAGTAGGCGCCTATGACGGCACTACTAACCCAGAAGACCATTTGATGGCATTCACCAACCTGATGTACCTTCAAGGGTTGGATGATCCCACTTGGTGCAAGTGTTTCCCAGCGACTCTCAAGGGAATTGCACAGCAATGGTTCGGCAACCTGCCGACTGGTTGTGTAAACAGCTTCAGGACGCTTGCTTACTTATTTGCCTCCAACTTCGCTATGAACATCCCTGCGAAGAAAACGACCCTTGATTTGGGAACAATTCAGCAGGGCGAGAAGGAGGGGCTTCGTTCTTACATCAGGCGGTTCAACCTGATGAGAATACAGATTCAAGGGTTACCGGATGAGGTAGCTTATACTG